GATAGTAGGCTCTCTTGTTCCTACTGATGGTGCTAAAAGAGAGCTATGTGGCTAGAATTAAAAATTACAACCGGAAATCTTGCAGTAAAAGTAAAGACAAATGTTTTTCTGTTCTTGAGCAACTACTTTATTGTTTACTGACCCCGAGTTTATCCCAATGCATAGCAACCCTGTGAATGAGATATCTCCAAGTCCCTGTTTCCTCACCTACTCTGCTCAGATCCTGCAGGGTCATGCCTATGGCTTTCCTAACCATCTAGCACAGGGGTAGGCAACCTTTCCCCTTTAAGGGCCGAGGGACTTCAGCTCCCAGAAGCCTCAGCCATGTTGGCCAATAGTCCCATGTTGGCCAATAGCTCCTGGGATTCTGAGAGTTGAAGTCCCTTGGCCCTTAAAGGGGAAAGGTTGCCTACCCCTGATCTAGCATGTGGTCTTCCTATCTTTCTACTGCTTTCTACCTTTCCTAACATAATTGCCTTTTCTAATGATTCATGCCTTCTCATGATGTGTCCAAAGTATGACCACCTCTTGGGTTCCAGGGAGAGTTCAGGCATGATCTGTTGTAGGACTCATTTGCTTGTCTTTTTGGCCATCCACAGTATTCTCAGCACTGTTCTCCAGGGCCATATCTCAAATGAATTGATTTTCTTTCTATCAGCTTTCTTCACTGTCTAGCTCCCACATTTATACATGGTGATGAGGAAAATAATGGCTTGAATTATCCTCATTTTAGAGTTCAGAGCTTTAGCTTTACACTTTGGGATCTTGTCCAGTTTTTTCATAGCTGCCTTTTCTAATCCCAGCCCTTTTCTGATTTCTTGACTGCACTCTCCATTTTGATCAATATTTGATGCAAGGTATGAGAACTCTTTGACTACTTCAAGACTTGTCTAAAATGAATTCTCATGAAGCTTCCATGGTCATTACTTTTATTTTCTTAATGTTCAGTATTAAGTCTATTTTGGCACTTTCCTCCTTGACCTTCTTTAGTAATTGCTGCAGGTCTTTGTTTCTGCTAATAGTATTGTGTCATCTCCATATCTTATGTTATTAAAGTTTCTTCTTTTGAGCTTCATTTTTCTTGCCTCTGAATCTAGGCCTGCTTTGTGTACAATGTTTTCTGCATACAAGTTGATAGATGATAGAATACAGTCTTGCCTAACCCCTTTGCCAATTGGGAACCACTCTGTTTCTTTGTATTCCATTCTGACAGCATCCTATTATTGTGAGTACAGGTTACACAGCAGGGGAATCAGATGCTCTGATGCTCCCATTTCTCTAAGAGCAAGTCATAGCTTCTCAAGATTTAAACAAAGAATTTTTTTTGTAGTCAATACAGCACTTGCAGATTTTCTTCTGGAATTCCCTGGTGCACTCCATTATCCATTATATATTTGCAATGTGCCTCTTGCTTTCCTAAATCCAGCTTGTACTCCTGGGATTTACCATTCCTTGCATGATAGAAATTTTTGCTGCAGAATTTTGAGCATGATTTTGCTTGCATAGCAAATTATTGCAATAGTTCTGTAATTAATGCACTCTTTTGTGTCTCTTTTTTGAGCTACTAGTCCAGTTTCATGATCTGGTCAAGATAGCATCTCCAAATGTTTACCTCTCAAGTGCTATAACTGAATGTGTTAAGAGAAAAGTGTCTTTTTATGCATTTATTTACTTAATAGTTGAGGACTTAAAAGGCTCAGACTCACAGAAAACAAATCTGTGTAAAATCCACATGCCTATGCCCATATTGTGTATTGCATTTTACATTTGTATATCAACAGTGTATATGCAACAATAAATCTGAGGCCCAGAAAAATAAGTTTGAGGATTGAGTACTCCATGGGACCTTCCATTATCTAATAGTTTAGTATATTTTGAGGCCACATAGGACCTTTGCAGACTGCTAGAAATAGTGCAAATTGAGTCCACTTTAACTGCCCCGGGCTCAGAGCTAGGGAATCATGGGAATTGTATTTTTTTCTCACACATTGAGCCTTCTCTGTCAGAGAGCTCTGGTGCCACAATAAACTACAGTTCCCATGATTCCCTAGCACTGAGTCAGGGTAGTTAAAGTGGACTCAATTTGCACTATTTCTGGCAGTCTGCAAAGGCCCATAGTTGGCTTATTAATATAACTAGAGATTCTGTTGAACAGTGGGTGGTGTTGTATTTGGAGGAAAGGTGGCTTCTAGTTCCAGAAGGTAGACTCCTTCAAAACAGCTGCTTCTTCCTACCCTGCTCCTTGAACTGAAGAAGAAAATTTAGAAAAGACCTCTTCCTTGTCAATTCTGCCAAACTAAGGACATATGATAAGCATCAGGCACCTTGCAGGCATAATCAGGAATAGAAACATATAGAGAAAACTTGTTAACATCAGCGATAGCCATAAAGATTCAGGTATACTTGACATATGTTTCAGAAATTTGTTGGGGTCAGTTGCCTCAATACAGCTGGTGTCACGTGGTATGGTAACTCATGGTGTCACTTTCCCCATTGACTCCCTTCCATACACATCACACAAAATCCTTAGTAATTTTTTTTGTATTAATGTTACTCATAAATCATAATTCCCATATATCACTGAATGTAATGGCACTACTTGTGGTATAAACCACTGGCAAAATTAAAAGTATACATTTAAATTACCATATCATATGCACAGTATTTACATGTATATAGTTTCACGTGGTTGGAGTGAAAATTTGGTAAGAAGATATTTTTTTAAAAAGAAAATGTAAAAAGAATAAATATTTTTAAAATTAAAATTTTAAAGTTTTATTTTTTTTTTAAAATGAGGCTTCTCCTTTCTCCTTGCCCCACTCATACTATCTTCACTATTTTAAAGAGATGCAGGCAAATGCCACAACCCATTTCTGCTAAAAGGCAGATCTTTGGGAAGCATATTTGGGGACCCTCACCCTTTAAAGTATCACCTGCTGTGGCTTGCACTTCCCACATTCCCCCCCCCCTGAACTCCTGGTGGGGGTCTAGTGAAGAGAGCTAAAATACTTGAGGGGACTACATTTACAGCCTTTTAGAACTCAAAATAAGGTATCTTAACATTTAAAGTACAATCCTCTATAAATATATTTTGGAGCAAAGCCTATTAGGGAACACACAATTTATTGAGAATAAATGTGTCTTAGATTTTTTTTTTTTAAAAAAAAATACTATCTGCTTCTGTCTGCCTGTCTTTTTTTTTTTCCCCTTTGGTCTTCATTTAGAAATGAATTTCTATTTCTGACTGCTGGCAATTCAGACTGCGCTAAACTTAAAAACATATTAATAGCAAAAGATAAGACTGTACAGTACTGGTCTCTCTCTCTCTCTCTCTCTCTCTCTGTCTAAGTGTCTATTGTTTTTACAGTTGAAAGGTAATACACCCTCTTATTTGTCTTCCATCTGCCACATGATTACAGCAATAGATTACAAAGGAGGCTGCTTAAAGAGCAAGATGACTTCATTAGGTTCAGATAATTCACTCATTGCCTTTCCTTTTCCAGGCAGTGAGACACTAAGTAGTTGGAACAGTGTGTGGTCTTTGGCTCTTGTTCAGTTTTTCTAAAGCTTTCTGAGGTATTTTGTGGGTTTTTCGGGCTATGTGGCCATGTTCTAGAAGAGTTTCTTTCTGACGTTTCACCAGCATCTGTGGCTGGCATCTTCATCTTTTCTCTGAAGATGCCAGCCACAGATGCTGGCGAAATGTCAGAAAGAAACTCTTCTAGAACATGGCCACACAGCCCGAAAAACCCACAAAAAACTATGGATGCCGGCCATGAAAGCCTACGACTTCACACTTTCTGAGGTACATTAATTTTGGTCTTAGGTGATGTGAGTTTTATTTTAATACAAATGTGCTACCAGTTTGAATGAACAAGAGAGAGGCCCACTTCCACCATTCAGTAATATGAGGAGGATGCCTGAGAAAGCAGGCTTGTTGTCTTAACTGCCCTTGAGTCAACCCCAACTCATGGCAATCCTGTGGATGAGACATCTCCAAGACCCGCTATCCTCCACTGCTCTGCTTATGTCCTGTAGAGTTAGGCCTGTGATCTCCCTGATTGAGCCCAACCATCTGGCATGCCTTTGTATTACCTTCCTTATGATGATGAGGGCAAAGTACAACAACCTCAATTTGATCATCTTAGCTTCCAGGGAGAGTTCAGGCTTGATCTGTTCTAGGACCTGTTTGTTTGTTATTATAGCTGTCCATGGTATCCTCAGCATTCTTCTGCAGCACCACATCTCAAATGAGTTGATTTTCTTGCTTCACTGTCCAGCTCTCACATCCATACATGGTGATGGGGAATATAATGGCTTTTTTAACTTCAGTACTCAGTTGCATATCTTTACTCTTTAAGATCTCTTAGATGTCACCAAACCACCAAACAGTTTATTGTGGTTTTATTTTTCTTGCAGAAATGAGAAGAGCAGCTTGAGGGATTTTTGCCTCATGTGTCAAAACTGCCTTGAGAAGCTTTGAACTTTGATGGGGAGGGGGAACTTTCTGTTGCTGTACTTTGGGGAAAAAATTTTGATCTGGACTTTGGCAAGAGAGTTAGGCCTGTAAGTTGTTTTTGCATATAAATGCAAAATAAAATTCAATGCAGGGATAAAAATCAAGTCAGGCCAGACACTATGGGGGCCTACCACACCTCATCCATTTTGCTCTTCATTGTGCAATGCAGCCTACTCTCCCACAGTGAAGAGCATAGGTGTAACGTGGTAACTTCTGAATTCTGTTTGTGGCTGTGAAATCTGGATAGTGAAGCAAGCTGACAGGGGAAAAAATCAACTCATTTGAAATTTGGTGCTGGAGAAAAGTTCTACCGATATCCTGGACCACTAAAAAGACAAATAAATGACTTCTGGAGCAAATTAAGCCTGAATTCTCCCTAGAAGCCAATATGACTAAACTGAGGCTGTTGTACTTTGGACATATCTTGAGATGATGTGATTCATTAGAAAAGACTATAATGCTTGGTAAAGTGGAAGAAAAAGCCAGCATGGTGTAGTGGTTTGGATGTTGGACTAGGACTCCAAAGACCAGGGTTCAAATCTGTGCCCGGCCATTGAAACTCACTGGTTGACCTTGGGCAGGTCATACTCTCTCAGCTTCAGAGGAAGGTAAGGGCAAATGTTGCCAAGAAAACCCTGTGAAAAATTTGTTTTAGGGTTGCCATAAGTGATGGAAACAAGTTGCAGGCACTCCACCACCAAAGTGGAAGGTAGTAAGAAAAGAGTGTGATCATAAAAGGTGGATCAAAGAAGTTACAGCCCTAAGTCTGCAAGACCTAAGCAGAGTTGTTGATGTCTGGACATCTTGGGGGGGGGGGTTCTCTCATTTGTAGGGTCGCCATAAGTTGAAGTTGCCTTGATGACATTTTTTTTTAAAAAAAGGTGACTCAGGCAATTGGTCCATGTAGTCATGTATCCTTTACAGTGGTCAGAGATAATCATTCTTCAGCCAATGAGCTACAATGAAGTGATGTCTATACAAATTAATAATAAATAAAATTAAAAACTATAATGCCAAGTGGCTGTATATATTCCATTTACAGAAATACAGATCTGCATTTTGAGCTGCCCAAAGTTATCAAACAAGAGTGGGTTTATTAGTAGTTATCATTCATACATTTGACAGCTGAATTATGATTTTATTGTTCATTTCATCATCTCTTTTCATCTTGGTATTAAAAAAGTTTGCATGGTTGTAAAAATAGTTAGCTAAGAAGTCTCTAGAGCTCTTGGAATCTAATGCAGAGTTGAAAGTTCATTGTGTACAATCATATATTACTTTTGACATTCACATTCTTTTAGACATTTGGCTGTAGCAAAAGCCAAATGAAAAATGGGGATCTCTGCGAGTGATTTATCTCACCAGGGAAGGAGCTAATCTTTTCTCCCATTTTTTATCCACAAATTCATGGGTTTAATTTGTGAGATAAGACTTTGGCATCTTTTAAGCAAAAATTGAATACAAATCAGCAAAAGCTCAGTGTGTATGGAGACAGTATTAGTCAAGACATTCACAAGAACAAATGTGATAATCAGATATAAATACCCTTTTTTGTGAAGTTAAATGATAAAAATAGTTTTAGCTACCACATGAAAAGGAGATTTTAAAAGTAACCTTGGCTGTAGAACCAGCAATTACAATTACAGTATTACTAAGGTTTAACTTGGAAAATGTATTTAAATGCTGGCTACTGTTCTCTCTCTCTCTCTCTCTTTCTCTCGGTATATATGTGTATACACATGCACACATACATGCATAAATGACTAGAGATGGTGCTGTATGCAAATCTGAGATATTTCTGACAAAGGTGAAACCTAGAACTTATTCAGTGGCTGCAACATACAATAGAAGTTCTGAAGTCACCAGTCAAACTGGGACCACGGTTCTGTGAACCAACAGATAGATGCCTTGCAATAGTTACCTCTGAAATGTTATCAGAGAAACAAAATTTGAGGTTGCTTCTAAGAGATAACCTCTAAGAAATTTTGGCAGAAGCCAGAAAACGTTCAATAAAATTAGTTGGGGATTGGCGGTGGTCCTCATCCACAGGAAAACAGATGATAAAAGGATTTTAAGGAATTTCCCAACACTGGGAAACAAGTAAATACTATTTTGCTCTACCTGAGGCAGGAAAATATACTAAGCTAAGTTGCTCAAACCCTACATTGTCATTGGATTTTGCCTCAAACAAAATACCAGAACTTAATCTTTTTCAAATTTTAAGCACAGTTTCCAGAATTGTTTAGCCATTGGCCATATTAATTGAGAAACTCTAGGATTTGTAGTAAACACACACACACACACACACACACACACACCCCAACACACACCAGTTCTTCAAAGTTCACTTTGAATGTTGCGATTTCAAACCAGTGGAATTGCTTTGGGGATGTTTAGAGTAGCTAATGGTTTCTAGAAAACCAACATTTCCCAGTGGTGCTTTCTGTTGTGTTTGCCTGTTGTTACATTCCATACTTTGGAGGTGTGCTGGAACTTCAGTCATTATCATCTGCAATTTAAGAAATGTATTTTATTCATTCATTTATTTATGTAATATCCCACTTTTCTCCCAACACAGGGCCTAAGACACCTTAAAACGAGTTAAAACAAAGAACAGTTACATGATTAATACATTAAAAAAAACAACAAAAATAACAGCTAGTATATTACAGTGGCCCCTTGTTATCCACTGAGCTTTGGTTCCAGGACCCCCCTTGGATTACGAAATCTATGGATGCTCAAGTCCCATTAAATATAATGGCAGAACAAAATGGTATCCCTTATATAAAATGGAAAATCAAGGTTTACTATATGGAATTTATACATATTTTTAAATATTTTCAAGCCATGGATGCTTGAATCTGTGGATAAAAAAAATCCATGGATAAGGAGGGCTGACTGCACTTTTATTTCAGGAAACATATTCCTGGCCACTCCCAAAACCTGGATATCCAGATTTGAATGTGAATCCAAAAGTACACCAAATGTGTGAAGTATAATCCTATCCAGTAAAGGCTAAATTCCTATTCCTTGATCTGCCTTTCAACTTACTAGGATCACCTCTGTCTTGTGTAGATTTAACTTCAGTTACTGACAGAAGAAACTGATTTAGGGGGAAAATCTTTCTTGGAAGAGACAGAGTTGGGTGTTATCATCATATTCATGAAGTTTCCTATAGATCAGGGGTAGGCAACCTTTCCCCTTTAAGGGCTGAGGGACTTCAGCTCCCAGAAGCCTCAGCCATGTTGGCCAATAGTCCCATGTTGACCAATAGCTCCTGGGATTCTGGGAGCTGAAGTCCCTCGGCCCTTAAAGGGGAAAGGTTGCCTACCCCTGCTATAGATGTTAAACAGCACAGGGGACAAAACTGAGCCCCGAGGACAACGTGAACAGGCATCCTTCACCACTGCCCTCTGAGTTTGCTGCTCCAAGAAGAATTGGAGCCACTGTAAAACAATATTCCCAAATCCTATCCCAGGGAGACAATACAGAAGGATATCATTATCAGTAGTACTGAAGGCTGCCAAAAGGTCCAGTAGAACCAAAATGGACATATTCCCCATGTGCAGTTCTGGGTCTAAGGCCGATGCAGACAGGCACTTTAGGCCAGCCTGGGGGTGGAGGTGGGGCAGGGCGACCACACGCCATCTGCCCTTCTCTGCCCTACTCTGCTCTGATGCACCCAACCACACAGTGCATGGTATCAGGGTGCCCCGTTGGCACAGCGTGGAGACACACTGTGCTAAAGGGGTGTAAAACACTGTCCCTGGGATAAGGGCAGCTTTTTGCTGCCCCAAAAAGGAGTGGCATTTATCCACTCTTTTGGGGGTGGCAAAAGGGAGGATTGGGGCTGTGGTGTGTGGTTGTTGCGGCCCCGATCCACCGCTCCCAGGAGCGACACAGAGCCACCCCTTATGGGCCATCTGCATCAGCTTAAGTCATTTACCAATGTGCCCAATGATGTCTCCATCCCATAACCAGGTCTGATGCCAGTCTAAAAAGGATCTAGATCAGGGGTAGGCAACCTTTTCTCTTTAAGGGCTGAGGGACTTCAGCTCCCAGAAGCCTCAGCCATGTTGGCCAATAGTCCCATGTTGGCCAATAGCTCCTGGGATTCTGGGAGCTGAAGTCCCTCGGCCCTTAAAGGGGAAAGGTTGCCTACCCCTGATCTAGCTAATCCATTCAAGAACCCCTGGGAAGCCAGGGTTTAACAGGATCACCAGCCAAGGCAACTGGAATAGAAGTCTTTTATTTAAGATTTTAAAATATTTTATTTTGAAAGATCTCTGCCAATATAAAGATGGATAAACCACTGGTTCTCTATCCTTAAACTATCAGTTCAGCAAAATGTGCTTCACACTGTACTCTGAGAATTTCAGCCTTATATTCAATTCTTAGCACATTTAAGTAGAAATCCTTAGCACATTTAAGTACAAATGGTTGTGTGAATCATTTTTGGTGTTCTTGAGAATATTCTCTGCTCTCTCAGCAGCTGGGCTAGTGAACATGAGTGACTTCTGTTTCTAGTAATACATGTCAGAAAAGCATCTTGGGAAAGATATGGATTATTTATTTTATTGAACAGAATAATTGAGCTGTTGGCCTTCATAAAAAAAGTTTCCATCTATGTAACATATTAAAAGAAAATTAGGATATATATTGCCTAGTTAACTGATTCAAAACAGCACACGACTGTGCTGGCTTTAACTTTACTTTCTTCTTATTCTTGAGTTTTTAATTGATCTAGTCTATGTTTTAATTGAGCTTTTGATTTTCATTGTACAGTGGGCTCTTGGTTGGTTGAACCCACATATAAAAAATCTGTGGATATGGAAAGCTGACTGTATTTTATTATTATTATCAACTCCAAGAGTAATTTGTGATGGAAAGGAAGGATATAAATTTAATTAATAAATAAACAGCTCAAGTGCATTTAGAAATTAAACTGTTTAGTTAAGTAAACATATTTGGGGTAGCTGTGCTGGCCATACTGGGAATAACAACAGCATCAACAACACAAAAGAAACCAGAAGTGATACCTTTATTGGTTAACAAATTGCACAAAATATAAAATGCAAGCTTTTGAAGCTCCATTAACTTCTTCATCAGGCAAAAGATATTTTAAAATCATACAGGAGGAAGAAAAAAGTGATAGTGTGGAGTAACAGGCCTGCATTTTGTATATAATGTAAATGTAGGCCTGTGACTCCAACACTGTCACTTTTCTTCTTCCTGTATGGTTTTTAAACATCTTTTGCCTCATGAAGAAACCAATGGAGCTTCAATAGTTTGCATTATAAGTTTTGTGCATTTTGGATGGCCAATAAAGGTATCACTCCTTTGTGGATTTTATATTTTGTTTAGTTGAATTAGTATAAGGATGTTGTTTACTTAGTACAGTTGGTCCTCTGTATGCATGGATTCCATCATCCACAGTTTGAAAATATTTCAATTAAATAAATAAATCCAAAAAAATGATTTTGCCATTTTATATAAGGGACACCATTTTACTACTCCATTGTATATAATGGGACTTGACTGTCCATGGATTGT